CTGATAACAGACTGTGATATTAGATATTAAAATATGTACTGTATCTATTACTATAGGTTGTTGGTATACCTGATAACAGACCATGATATTGAATATTAAAATATGTACTGTATCTATTACTATAGGTTGTTGGTATACCTGATAACAGACTGTGATATTAAATATTAAAATATGTACTGTATCTATTACTATAGGTTGTTGGTATACCTGATAACAGACCATGATATTAGATATTAAAATATGTACTGTATCTATTACTATAGGTTGTTGGTATACCTGATAACAGACCATGATATTAGATATTAAAATATGTACTGTATCTATTACTATAGGTTGTTGGTATACCTGATAACAGACCATGATATTATATATTCAAATATGTACTGTATCTATTACTATAGGTTGTTGGTATACCTGATAACAGACTAGGATATTAAATATTAAAATATGTACTGTATCTATTACTATAGGTTGTTGGTATACCAGATAACAGACTGTGATATTAGATATCAAAATATGTACTGTATCTATTACTATAGGTTGTTAGTATACCTGATAACAGACCATGATATTAAATATTAAAATATGTACTGTATCTATTACTATTGGTTGTTGGTATACCTGATAACAGACTGTGATATTGAATATTAAAATATGTACTGTATCTATTACTATTGGTTGTTGGTATACCTGATAACAGACTGTGATATTAAATATTAAAATATGTACTGTATCTATTACTATAGGTTGTTGGTATACCTGATAACAGACTGTGATATTGAATATTAAAATATGTACTGTATCTATTACTATAGGTTGTTGGTATACCTGATAACAGACTGTGATATTATATATTAAAATATGTACTGTATCTATTACTATAGGTTGTTGGTATACCTGATAACAGACTGTGATATTAAATATTAAAATATGTACTGTATCTATTACTATAGGTTGTTGGTATACCTGATAACAGACCATGATATTATATATTAAAATATGTACTGTATCTATTACTATTGGTTGTTGGTATACCTGATAACAGACTAGGATATTAGATATTATAATATGTACTGTATCTATTACTATAGGTTGTTGGTATACCAGATAACAGACTGTGATATTAAATATTAAAATATGTACTGTATCTATTACTATAGGTTGTTGGAT